ACACAGTGAAATCTAGCAAATTGAAATGGATATCAATCAGCAATGTAGATAAAATATGAACAACTGATCGAAAAGTAAACATTACTCATTATAAAAAGTAGAAGCAAGAATGTCTATCACCAAAAATTAGAAGATTATGTACACAATGTACATAGGCTGAAAACTAAGCTGTTACGTTATAAACAATATAGAATATAGTATAAATATACATTCGTTCAAATTCCCATAATTTACATTTCACTAAAGATATCAAAATAATAATGACATCAATTAATGATAGAAAAAAAGTTTTACAAGGGGTTTTGTAGAGATTGTAGTAATTTGAATAGTTGAAATCATGAGTCAATTGAAGCTAGACTACCATGAAAAAACACGGAAGCACTGAACGACCATTTCGTCTTGTTATAGGACTCCTCAGCAGTGCTTCCAGATTTTCCATGGTGATCTAGCTTCAATCGGCTCATGATCTCAACTATTGGGAAAGAAACAGTTGTACAGAGAATGTAATGCAAAAAAAGAATCAATGAAATTAATCAATAAGGCTAATCATTTGACCAGACTATTAATATCGTTATATGTACCATCAAATCATAGACCTTATGTTAGTAGTAAAATATTTATTTATTTATTTATTTGAACACAAATGCCCTGGTATGGCCGAGAGTAGGGTGTGTCCGCCGCCCTCTCGAAATACTCTCACACGGCCGCGCGTATACAGCCTCTGCCAGAGAAGTCCTACTCACTGCCTCCTCGTGGCGGGGGTGTTGTTTACGAAATTGAGAGGACGAAAAGCGAATGTCCGGCGCTTTAACCGGATCCAAACCAATGGTGCACATGGGCACCAGTATCCTGCTGGAACAAATGGAGTATGAACCAATCGTCGGTCACCGGCTACCATGGGATTGCATCTCTTACGATGCTCCACTGCCTTGTGGGTTAGACATTTAGGTCAAAGGCTCCGGGTGTGGCCCTCTAAGATAACCACCTGCTTCAGTCTGGGCACCCGGGCATTATCACAGCCCACACGCAAATGATGAACTCTCTAGTAGTAAAATAAATTCAAATAACTAAATAGATTTTCATGATTATTTATATTTTATTCAATAGGTTGAAGAAACAACACAATGTGTTAAAAAAGAAGCTCGATCTAGTGGAAGTTTAACAAGTTCTACAAATCGTAATAAATTATTAAGTAATCTTGGTGAAAGTATAACATCATTTACTGGAAGTCCTATATTTCATCGATCCTAACATATAATGTAGTATTATTTGTTTTTCTTTTGTAATACAGTTAGGAAAACAAGATAGAACAAAAAAGAAAGCAAACAATGTTTTGCTGTGCATTTGATTTATTTCTGTATAGTTTTCATGAATTCATTCAATTATTTTATTGTTAATATTGTAAAACAAACAAAAAAACACAATCAAGATTGAACAGTAATACACCAAGTCTTTCATTAATTAATTTAAGAGAGAGAGAGAAAACAAATTATACAGAAATTGTACTATTTTTCTACAAAATAATAAGAGAACATTATACATATAGATATATATATATAAATAAATCGTATGGATTAATATACTACTTTGTTTATTTCGTAAGTAATAACTGTATTTTATATTAAACAAATTGAATAATGGTAATGACAGTTATATGTTTTAAATGAATATAATAAACATATTTGTTATATCACGATGAGTAAAAAAATTGTATTTCTGATGTTACGCAACTTAATTTCAAACATCGTTCTAAAGAAGTGGCTTAAATTAAGTTACGAAACATCAGAAATATAATTTTTCTCATTATTGGCATGTGTAATAAAAATATGTTTATGATTAATTCAATAACCAACTATTAAGTCTAACCTTGGTGTTGGGACCTAATATATATCAGATGGTTGATAATGATATCTAAGTGTTTTCCTTTTACTATGAGCTGCTAAAATTAGTTATTAATAACACTGAGTTATTTTATACGATGATTCTCAATAAATTTTACAGTGTAATAATAAACTCTAGTTAACTGAAAATTTATTCAAACAGTTGTTAAAGTTTGATTTCCTTCAAACTTTTTGTTACTTCCTTGATTTGTCTATCCACTTTTGGTGCTGAGGATAACTTGTCTCAACTAGATTAAGACCTTGACGCGATAGGCTGACCGGCTTAAACCTTGAGGATAGTAGGCGTGAGTTCGAAGTGGGGTACAGAGAAGACAAGTCAACTGGAACACTACTCGATTTATTACCGATTGTGATCTAGTTCCCGATTTCAGATCAGTGTAAAAAGATAAATGAATAAATAGATGACCAACCCAACCACAACGTATAATAATTAGGAAAATACGATTATGCTCCAAAACTGGGGATTAGCGTAGAAAATAGAGAGCAATATATGTTTAAATTACAATAGCTTTGGAACAAAAAGGGCTATGGCAGTGAATCATACACCAAACGAAAGCTTATATTCTGTATAATAGACTAGGAACAAAAATAAATGTTATTGTTTTACAAGCTTTGAATTAAATGAAATAACGTCCCGAGAAATAGCTTCCGTAGTTTGTCAAGGCTTCTTTTTTCTCTGTTCATATCACTTTTAATAGAGATTATGCTATGACCTACATTAAGTACGTCGTCCATGAAATCTAATGAAGTTGTATTCAGTACAACAGTATTTGTTAATCACGGCTATTCAACGATTTGGCGAGACTATAATTTATGGACGAGCCAGTCAGAAGCGTTTGAGGGATTTCAAGGTCACGGAGCCAAGTTTAGTACCTGATGCTAACGTAAATCGGTTCACAGCAGATTTTAGAAAAAAAACGTGGTAACTGAGCGCGGCTGCAACAAATGGGACTACTAAGAAATTTCTTCATTTGTGATTGTGGTGATCAAACGACTTGTGAACCTTGTGTAGACCACCGTGATGATACTGTCTTTCGATATGTGTTGGAAAAAATCTGCTAGAATAGGACTTTTTACCTCTGTCTAGATTAAGACTAAGGCAAATTACGACAATTGTTGAGAACTGCATAATAAAAGTATCAGTAACAATGGCTGCAGCCGGGTACTACAATATATACGGATGATTGGAGAGCGTACAGATGCCTCCATAGACTTATTTATGTGCATCGTTCCGTTATCCATAAGCGACATTTTGTGCACCTAACAACTGGAGTGCACACAAACAACTTTGAAGCTATATGCTCGAGGCTGAAAGAGTTTTTGTCACCTTATAATGGCTCCAGAGGCCTACAATTATGGTGAAATATAGATGATTCCCTCTACTATATGCATTACGATTTCAGAACCTCTTTCTAAACTTGACAAGTTTTTGAAGAATGTAAAAGAAGTGTATCCGCTTTAATTCTCTAGTTATGTACAGTATATTTTCACTCTACTGTTTTCTCATTGGCTAATATATCTCAAAGTCACTTAAGATTCGTTCAAAGGTCGTTCATAAATTGTAGTCTCGCCAACGATTTCTTTCGAGAATTAACATTTATACGTAGGGTTAGGAGCGAAGCATAACATTGAAGTAATAGCTTTCGGATTAAAATAAATTTTTCCAGTTAGATGGATTGTCACCATTTTTCCATGAAAGAACTGTACGTTGACGGTAAGATTTTCAATGGGTTAATCTATGTTCATATCATGGGAACTACTTTGAACTTTTTTTAAACGTCTCACTTAGTCATAATGATTGTAGAATGCGATACAAATGTGGATCAGTTTAATTTGGCATACCATGCCAACAAAGTGAAATGAAACCATCAGGATAAATCTCAGAATTATAGACTTCTTACCAGTATCAGTGGTTGTAGATAAGAAAGATTATGCATAGAGAATATGATTCGAGAATTCATGGAATACAAAGCTTAAAGTTAAAACCCAAGATTTGAGGGAGACTAAGAATGGATACGTCTGTATCACTGGAGCCAATCCTGTCCCATATCATCCGACAACTAAACGTGAACATTGACTATTAATTCAGCATCTGACAACATGGCTCTGATCAACAATCCGTGACTTCAAGGAGTGATGCCATATTATGGTTTGACAAACTTAGCTTTATTCCAACCTACACCTACAGTAGTTAACATTGAACATCAAAATGGGCGATGATTGCGCATATGTAATATATATTGCAACCAGTTCAATAAATGAAGATTGACAACTATATCAACTGATCTGCCATCATTGCCAAGAATCCTATATCTATCCTCAGTACTTGATAATAAAGTGTATCTCTGACAATAAGAGACACCAAGACGAAAACCTATACAAGCACTTTTCTCAGTAACCAGTTATGGCAATTATAAATAAAAATAATATATTTGTATTCATCACTTATGATGAACTTATGAATCACCTTGACAGAAATGGCATACATCAACTTGTTCAGACCTGTTTTTGATTGATCAAATATTATTCTTGCATTGTTACGTTGTACTATTTAAACTTGGATTAATTTAATTTGGTTATTTATTCTCTGAAGAAGTGACTTACACTAAGCCACGAAACGTCAGAAAAATCCAATTTTCTACTCATTGGGATATTACAAATATATTATTTTTATTTATAACAATCAACCCAATGCTCAATTTATTCGAAATTATCAAATCAAACCTTGGTAATGACACCTATAAAAAGTTATGGTAATTGTTAAGTTTCGATTCAGATCATGAATCGATCAATGTTAGACCACCGTTGAAAACTGGGAAGCATTGGATGACCGTTTCGTTCCAGTATATGACTCCTCAGCAGTGCTTATCCACGATCCAGTGTGGGGGATTCGAACCCAGGACTTTCGGTCTCACGCGCGAACGCTTGACCTCTAGACCACTGAGTCGGTATTTTTTTCCACCTGAGATCTTTAGTATGATACATTTCCTTGATATATGTACCATAACAAATACTCTTTATACACACACATTAGCATCTACTCAAATCAACATGCACAGATTTCTTTCATTGTGAAACGTTCAAAAACACTGAAAAATAGTTCAACTAAACTTTTATTTAAACTTCATGTATGGCTTAAAATTATTACGAATTACAGTCCACATTGTAATTCACGTAAACTCTGAGTAACTCTAAAAAGACATATTCCTCATCTATTTTTATGTACCTAATAAATGTTTATAAATACAAATGAATAGAAATAAAATTTGCTTACATAATAATAATGACTGTGTAAATATATCATGTAGGGGTAATGTAGTGGGGAAATGAGTGCAAAATTCTACATTTAGGTATATAATACAATGTTAACATGACAATTCTGAGCCTGAAACAATTGCATACAATAAATAGTCAAATCTTTCTTTTTCTATCAATATAAAATTAGATAAACCTAATGCTAAAACTTATTATGTACTGTTTGAGAAAATAAAAGGGGAAAAAATAAGAATCAATATTTACAGTAATGTAAATTTTCAAAAAACAACACTAATCAACGTCTTTTACGTGTTGCTTGACGTGAATGTAACTGTCTGAGATTTCGTTGTTCCGTTTTTTTTAGTTCAATATCAACACTTTCTAATGCTTCATCAAGTTGTTCTTGAAAAAATGAATCTGGTAATAATTGAGTTGATTCAGCTAGAGGTGGAAGACGTCTATGAGTAGTGGAACGTGTTTGTCTTTTTTGTTCTTTTGCAGACGCTTTCTCAAGTGTTTTGATTACTTGTTTCTGACGTACAGGTCGACGATTAGTGTTTCGTGGTTCAGATTTACAACTGCATACATCATCCTCATCATCATTTTCGTCTGTCTCTTCATCACTTGTATTATTGATATTTTCTTTAGGAACCTCCTCTTCATGTAAAGTGACACTAAGTTCTAATTCACTATCCGATAAACAAACAGAGGAAGGAATAGGAGAAGGTAAATTGGGAAGTTTTGGTGGACCAAGTCTTTGAGTTAACCGGCCGCCATTTTGCTTAAGTCGTAGACGAGAAGCATTCCGAAGGTTTCGTCTAACTTGATTTGTTGGGTTTTCTGATATATATGTGCTATTGTTTTCATTTAGTTCTTCATCCCGGTGAGAAATAGAAGCATTAACTGTATACACCGATTTTGAGGCATCTACCTCATTGTGCTCTTCTGTCTGAATCCCGATTGAAACTCCAAGACTCAATGAGCTAACCTGAATAAAATTTTAAAAAAAAAACAAGACAACATATATGAACTGATAGATCAATCATTACATGATGCAATTTTAAATAGACAACATGAATAAATACGACATATTTTGACAATAAATGTAAAACCTCCTATCAACTTATCTTGAAGTTGATCATAAGAAACAGGGATAAGAATTCTTGGATGTTTTAGCAGTTACTGGTACTATGATTTGTTTTTTTCAGGTCAGATAACCAGACTGAAGCGACCTAATTAGCTTGGTTACAAACAAAGATAAATTTGTCGAAATACACAACTTATAAAATGAAACAAACTATAATAAAATAAATAATCCTTTTGTGTTTATATCACTGCAGTTTGTTCCATATGATACATATGGTACACTTTTATTCAAATGATTACATACGGTGAATTATGGAATCACTGAAAAGTGTAATAAGTTGAATAGAACATAAACACAACACTTTGTTTAACGAAATGCTAAATAAGGAATGTACGGTCTAGGATTATCAACAAGAACCATCTAAACTTAAATAAAATAAAACATAGAACCCAGTAGCCTTGAACAACCAAGTGAACAAAATACGTATGAAGAGAAATTTTAATATCAGTTGTCTAACCGGTGTTAAGTAGAATATAACAACTGGTTCGCTTTCGCTTTCTGAGATCCCTTACTTTAGGTTCTTTATAATGAGTTCGGTAGTTCGAGCGACAGGTACATAACTCTTGGACTATACTAAACAGAAAAATCGAAGGAGAATGGTGTATGAACCACTTGTTGAACACTGGCTACCATGGGACTGCATCTCCTCACGATGTTCCACTGCCTAGGTCAAAGGCTCGGGATGTGGCCCCCTAAGAAAACCACTTGCATCGGTCTGGGCACACGGGTGGTATCACAGCCCACACACAAATCGAATGAAATGACGATATTTATGTAAAATACTTGTCTTGCTTCGATTAACAGTCAAACGACTCATATTATTATTATTATTTACTACGTCATTTATCATTCTCTTTTATTCCCACTTTATATATCCTTATTTTTCGACTTCTACAGCAGCTCATATATGGTAGAAACTCGATTCTATTTAAACGTTCTCGAGTCACTGTCCGGTTGAAAATTGAATTCTACCACCAAATACGAATACTGAAGCATTTTTTCTCAAACCACGTGCACCATTCAAACTAGCTGCCTTCAACAGATAGGGCTGACTATGTCTTTGGAAAGTCTTAATATCGATGTCTGCTGTCTATCCTAGACTCGTATTCAAGACTCTGCTGAAGTATTACATATTCGCTCTCCATCGGTCACTTCGAAAAGCTTGTTTTACGTGCGCTTATCCGGGGACCCTGTGGCATCTTCGTCTGGTCTTGCTGGCGTTGGTGTCGCACTAAGCGCTAGAGCTGAGGCAGCACTAATCGATTGGATCCCCATTAACAGTCGGTTATGTGCTGTTAGATTAGAAAGTTCCATCAAAGTGAGAAGAAATCGGCCTGAGAAACGATGTCTTCTCGTCATCTCCGCCTATGCCCCGACAGATTGCAGCCCGGATGCAATCAAGAATGAATTCTACCACCAGTTAAATGTTCTTCACCAGCAAGTGCGTTCGACAGATATTGTAGTACTAGCCGGAAACTTGAATGCTCAGGTTGGGCGTATAGGCACAGGAGAGAGTCGTTTAGGTGGCCGATGGGGACTTTTTTGTCGCAGGACAGATAACGAGGACCGTCTACTGCAACTGTGCACATACTACGACTTGCCAGTCAGTCAGTAACAACGTAGAACTTCGTACGTACGTACATCAGTTCGAGTTGCTACACCACATTAGCACAGAGATGCAGTGGTCGATTCAAATCCCGTAGTGGTAGAGGTAATAAGAGTATAAGCAGTAATCGGAAAGATTAGGGTGCACCGGTGCAAACGATTTTGAGCCATGTCACTCAAGGTCTCTAACCGTCGGTTGCTATCATATCGCGGTCCCCAACCAGGTAGTCTACACCTACCGACATGACTCAGTCCACTTGTCAGTGACTTCATGGACTTGTGCCATGTTTTGGTCTGGCCGCCCCTAGCTTTCTTCCATCCTACTCCTATACCACTGAACATCGAACGTCGAGGCAGTCGGTCGTTAGGCATACGTAACACGTGTCCAAGCCATCTCAACTGATGAAGTTTCACTACGTCATCAATTGTAAGTGTCGAACCGAGCTAGCTTCTAGGTTAGCTGCCATTCCACCGAAAAGTATGGATGAGCATTGGTTTCAACTGCATGATGCCATGAAAATGGCGAGTAACGTCACTTGTGGGTTCGCGAAACTTCCCGCTTATAAGCACTAGGTTTCTTCAGGCTCCTTACAACTCATCGAAGCCCGTCGGTCTACTCCGTGTATCTAGGTAGCTGCATAAGTGCTGGTGGGGGTGTGAGTGATGAGATCAATGCACGTATAGTGAAAGCCAGAGAGGTTTATGCCAATATGGGTCATCTTCAGCACCTTCGTGATGTTAGTCTGGCTGTAAAAGGTCGGATCTACAACGCGTCGGTGAGAGCAGTTTTGCTCTATGCTTGTGAAACCTGGCCTCTCCGAGTTGAGGACGTTAGACGACTCTGTGTTCGATCATCGTTGTCTCCGAAGGATTGCTGACATCCAATGGCAACACCATGTTAGTAATGCAGAGGTTCGGCATCGTGTGTTCGGGCACAAAGATGATAATGCAATTGGTGTCACCATCTCGAAACACCGACTTCGGTGGCTTGGACACGTTCTACGAACGTCATCCCAGAGAATTCCACGTCGTGTATTATTTGCCGACTGTGGGACTGGTTGGAAAAAGCGGAGAGGTGGTCAGTGTATGACATGGTGTCGTGGGATGAAAGAAAGCTGCAAAGGACTGGCTTCTGTCAGTCCTTCACGACTCCCTGGTTGGGGTCTGAGAGATGGTGCAACATAGTGGCTAGAGACTTTATCAAACATGGCTCAGAATAGAAGCCAGTGGCGATCCTGATGTAACCTTCTTTTACTTTTTTCATAAAGGTGGTTGTATCTGAAAGATCTCTTCTGATTGTAGCTTTCCGTCTCCCCCATTATTATTGTCATTATCAGTATTATTACACTACCTTACACTAATCTGTGGTCGTTATTGTTCTTTTTTCTTTTTTTTTTCTTATACGCACCTTACCTTCTTTTTCTCTTTCCATTCTTATTGTTTCGTGTGGCGCATATATATTTGGTGCCCCCTTGTACCAATATTTATGTGTTCAAATAAATAAATAAACATCTACGATCTGGAATGTTGGGGAAGATTTGTAGCTCGAATAGATGATTTCAGTACAGTTTTGTTCTCTAAGTTGGATGGTTTAATCGTGAAGCTTCCATTGTTCTTCTGATCACGATCATCAGTATAAAATCCAGTTTAGAGAACAAAACTTCACATAACTGGAGAAGACATATTTATGACAACGGTAATTACGTTTCAGTATAAACTGACTGATTCATGGAAAAAACTGACTGATTGCTAGGTTTCGATAAATTACCTCAAGAATAATGTCGTATCCAAGATGATGAAAAAATTGTCCAAAGGATAAAATGGTCCCGATAACAGAAGAAAAATATCTCGTGATGGTTTGTTTTCATACGGTCTTAGATTGATTGACAATGCCGTATTTTTATGTGGCTGACTTCGAAAATATTTCAACATGCTTGAAAAAGTTGCATTCGTAGGTTAAATGGTAATTGAATATACATGTATGTATATTCTGTATCCCAAATGAAACATACATTGGTAACTTATTCAAACAACGAACTTTTTGGAAAGTTTACTCATGTCATCCGTTTTTAACGACCATGTATGAAACAACTAGATAGAAAAAGTAGAAAGTTTACGAGCTGGACTTCCAAACTCGTTTTCTATCTAGATAATGTGAAGGTGCCAGCCTATTTATCTAAGCCCAAGGTGATTGAACTATCTATTATTCCTTGTAAATTAATATCTACAAAATCCCTCGTCCTTTTAAAAAAAACCTTTCGATAATAAGAAGTAATCTCAATAATGCAGTTATTTTACATAAATATCTATTAATTGGATCACCATACATACCTGCATAGACAATTCATTCATTTGATATAATGAAGTTTGCATGGAAATCGAATCCGTATGAATACTTGGCTCAACAATAATTGATGTTTGAACATTCATGTCAGTATTCGGTACACGAGCAAGTAATGCATTATTTTGTTCTAAAGCAACGTTTAAATCAGTTTTTATTTGATCAATACGCTTTTGTGCATCATCATTGCAAATTTTCAGTTCTTCATCATGTAACTGTTTCATTCTAGTTAATTTTAAGTTAGACTGATGCAATTCATTGGTTTGTGAAATCTGATATAATGAAAACAATATTATTTGTTTAAATGGAACATGAGTTATAATTTTAGTAACATTCTGGTGTTGACTAATATATTAGGCATGCGATTCACAATGGAGGAAGGACACACGTTTCGTCCTATTCAGAACTCGTCAGTTGGATGTATCCACAACATTCCAGTGTTGATATTCATTCCACTAAGACTGAAACCCACTCCTTTTTGCATAAAATGGCCAAGGTATTATTCACTGAGCTACTAAGTTCAGGTAGGCACTGAGTTCTGCAAGTGATATAACAAAGTTTAAATTAGCTCGCCCACTAGATAATCGGATATCAACCACACTTGAGTGTAAGTGGTAATGATAATACCCAGTTCCTCAAACCAAAGTAGTGGAGTGGGCATCAAACCTGGAATTTAGTGGCTGAAAATCACGCGCCTAAATCACTAAGCCATTGCTCCATCAACTGACATAAGAGTACTAATAAAGGTTTGTAATTTTCTGTTGTTAACAGTCATGACTGTAATTGATCAACTTGTGTTGACATATGTCCATCCTGAACGGATTGTACTGATATGGCACAAGTCTTAGTACATTGACTTTTATTACAAAATGATACAGATGAAATTTAAGTCAGAGTCAAAATGTTCTATTAGTACATTGAGTCAATCAGGAACCGCCAGTGCTCCTACAATTTTCTACTATTCCCTAAATTATAAGCAGAGATGGATGGTGGCTAGCAGTGGAATCCAGGACGTGGGTTTTGTCTTAGAACTGAATTGGGTGTGGCACAATGTTCGAATCTGAGATCAACAGATTAAAACTCCAGTTGTCTTCTAATCATTATTTTGGATAATTAGAATAATTAACAAAACTGTAAGGCTTATATGATACAAATTGATGATGTAATGATGTACAGAGAAATAGAAAAACAAAGTAATTGCATTGAACAGGTGTCAAAGAAATGAATTTAGTCAACTATCATATCATTATTACATACCAATCTTTGAGAAAGATCTTCATATTGTGATTTAAGTTCATGAAAAGCTGTTTCAGATCTGACTAATGCATCATGTTTCAAAGCAAATTTCTCTTCTATTTCATAGATCTGACGACGTAACTGTTCCACTATCTCTTGTTGTTGAAAGCTTGATTCATGCTCCAAAAACGATAGTAAACCTTCACTAATCTGAATTGGATGAAGTAAATAAAAACAATGCTAACTACTGAGGTAAACAAAACGGATGTTATTTCAGATGAATAACTACCAACTGATGATGAGAAAATTAGGAAAACTGTTCATTGATACCACTGATATGAATGATAGAAGCTCAAAAAATTTAGTGCTAACGTAGCTGATTACTTTAATGTATGACATTGATTTACATCTCTATGTGTGTCAATTTTTTATTGTTTGCGTTAAACCATGTATTACATGACTTCTAACAGGCACACACAAATTAAACTCCAAACTTTATCCAAGTCAGATTTAACCATTCAGAATCGAACAGGGAGTAGCGCAAAACAATTCAATCAAACTATCAGTCATAAAACCTATTGTGAGTGGCAATGTTTAATGGTTGTGAGGGTACGTTGGAAGAAAGCCAGGGGGTAGTAGACTAAATAAAACGTGAAATCGATTCATCTGCACATTGAACGTTGAACTGAGTCATGTGAGCAGGTGTAGACTATCTGTCTGAATTCTGCGCGATCAACGTGACCAACGGTCAGAGACTTTAGGAAATATGGCTCAGAATTAATTACAATGTCGTAGGTGCATTGGATTTGCTCTTTGTCTTCCTCTAGATCATATACATTTTATTCAGCGAAATCATCTTTTCCTTTCAAGTTATATTTCAACTGTCGCGAAACTACTTCCAATATCACTGACGTTACTACTTTGATTGTCATCTTGATAGTTTCATCTTACCGTGTTGACATAGTGTATGGCAAGTTGGAGCAATGCACATATGTTCTGTAGTACAAACATGAGTTACATACAAAGTAAATCATTTTGTATAGCTGTTCCACCAATAATCACGACCATCCGGGACTAACAAAGTTACCGGTAACCCTTGATTAATTAATTTGAAAATAACAACAAAAATATTGCAAACTATACACGACCGTTGAAAGTATTGTAGTGAGCGAGAACACAAGTGGGGACAACCAGATGTATTTGAGCAGAAAATTACAGAATGTCTTAGTAAAATCTGTGAACCATACGAAAAATACTTCTTTACCAAAGTGTCAATCAATTGTCTCAGACTTAATGTTCTTTCTCTTCCACACCAATCATTCTCTGTTCTCTTTTCTTCGATCTTATTAGCCTTCTGCCGCCAGGTATTTTACTTTCGATTGGTGACACGTACTACTTATATCTGTCGACATCAGTAGCACACACCACAATATTACATAATGAATGTAATTAATTATTCAGTGATTATGTCAAAATAAGAATTACTTACTCTACTTTCTCTAACATCATTGGTGATGTATTCATTTTTAAGATGAATACATTTCACTTCATCATTTGTTTGATGTTTTTTCTCAGGACCAACTAAGTGCTGAATTGTACTGTCCGAAAAAGGTTGTTTTTCCCCAGGTAGCAATTTATTGGGGCCTTTAACAATTGTGGAAGGTGTTTCATTATTTAATGAGTGATTAGCATTTCCCTGTACAATAATAATGAAATACGATATATAACGTGTGAATAAACCAGGGTACTACATAACTTTTAAATAAAACTGAACACATGTATCCGTACACAGAGTACGTGACAGTTGTTTAGTTAGTATATTATCAATCACTAACCAGGGTAACAGATATTCAATCTATTATGACAGTAATAATAAATAATCGAATCATAAACAGAATAAAATATAAAAGAACAAAATTATAAGCAAACTGTCTTGTAACAATGTAAATTCTTTATAACTCACGCAGAAGTGGGTAAAAGAACAATGTGAATGGACGCCATAATCAGGTGCTGTATTATTCTATTCGAGACGGACAAAAGTTATCAAAAATTACATTTGGATAAGTAAAGTATTTTTTTGATGAGCTCCTGTAACCCTACTAAAGACGTAGTTTCATGAAGCAATGTTCGAATTATACAGATTACAATTCGAATGTTTTAAAAATGACAAATGGAGATTAAAATTAAGCCAAATATCTGAAAAAAGGAGTGATGTTCCATAAAACAGCAGTATGGGGCAACTAGCTCTAGAGTAACAACGGTGAGGTAGAAGCAGATATTGAATTTTCCTATATTAAGTCAACTTTGATTGATTGTATGTAGAAATAATATCGGTTATTATTCGTAACCATTTTTAATGAAACCATTTGAGATTTTAACCTTATAACTAAGAATATATATACATAAACTGAGACGCTTTCAAAATATTCCTCTTTATACGTTTTTTAGTGAGGAAAAAACTATAGCTTGTAACTTGGAGTAGATACGAACTAGCAGCAGTAGGTGGAACAACACCGAAAGAGAGAGATGTCCTCATTATCTCATGAACTATTAAAACAATAACCAAGAGTTTTTAGTTAAAGGAAATTTCCAACAGCCAACTAACAAATGGATTGAACCAGATAGTTTGATCGTGAAGCTTACATTATTTTTCTCAACAATATCATCAAAACAAAATTTAGGTAGCAGTGAGGTATTTGAATTTTTCTGCAAATGACTGACAGTTTATCCTGTCGATGTTGATTGGTTATTGTTGACCTTCAACCTATTGTTGTCCTGTTGATGTTGTTTAGATCAACAAAGGAAGCTTTACAATTAAAACATTCACCTCTAAGAAAAATATCCACTAAAATAATCCACATGAGCTACAAATCATCTTTACCATTTCAGGACTGGAATCAATTAACACGATCGTCCTCAAGATACCATGAGATGGAACAGTAAAACCTTAAAACTCACTTCCTTTACTTTGCACTAGTCAATACTAGATAATAAAAAATTATCGTACTGTATGACTCGAATCTCTAAGTAGCACAACTTACTTTAAAATGGTAGACAATATGACCGGCTGATGGGAGAGAAAAATCACAAAACATATATCCACAGTCTAGTGTTGACTGACTCAAATAATTCCAATAATAAAACTTGTATATTGGGGATATATTTGTATGTTCTGCTTTAAGCCCTAATTTAAGTATGGGGACTAAGATACTATCTGGTCTAAAACGAAGTATATGTGGCGGGGTTTAAATATACAGCCTACTAATCGATACTCAAGTATTTTTACTTACTATGCTACCACTTCATCGGTTGTCACCTAAACTGATTACTTCAAATTGCTTTTTCTACAATGTTACAGATGTTACGAATCACTGAGCAAATTATAACAAGAGGTTACAAGTATGATTCTATCCATAGGCTAATCTCAAAGTGAGTAATTCGTAAACGATCACAAGTTATTTTTCATAACTTGAAGCAATGATGCAGTACCTCTGAAATGTATCAAGCAAAAGTATTTAACTTGATAAATAGGAGCAGTAACACACTCTAGTGGGTTAGATCACTATTGAGTGTTTGAAAAATTTCATAACATAAAGCACTCAGTGTATTAAACAACACTAAGGAAAGAATATTCTACTAATCGATATATCAACACAAAACCTTGCATAAAAGTGCATAGGTTTAGAAAGTCGATATATGTTGAAAGTAATAAAGTAGAACAGTTTAGTAATCCTGTACTGAAGTTTGTGTAAAAGTTGAAAATGATTTTTAATAGGAGTATATGATTCGACAATACATCATTACCATAAAACATTCCAGTCATCGGAAACGATGAATTTATCACCAGTGAGTGATAATGCTTGATACATACAATGCTTTGGAAAAAAGCACGGACAAAAAAATTCAAACACTAGAAGCAATCAAAAGTTAACGAGAAAATACCTGTATTGTCACTTTTGACTCAGGACTTTCATAAAATGAATGTGGATTCATCTTATTTGTAACATGATCATTTGCAAATGCAGTAATTTTGGGTAAATTGATAGTAATACACGAATCATCTAAGTCATCTACTTTCAAAGAGTCACTGGATGAAACGTGCTAAACATGCAAAAGAAAGGAAAATATCATCTCTAGTTTCACTGATAGGTATAAAAAAGATAAAATTTATTCACTTAACGGTGTGCAGAGCAATTGAATATTTTCTACTTCGATCTGGGAAACTATATGGTATTACAATTAGCCTTCATATTTAATATGTGGCTCAAATTAGACAAAACAAGCCTGTATCACTGATTGATTACTGAGTAGTGACTAACGCTGATCGATTCTTAATGTGCCCATTAGTCTAAGCGACTCGATATTATGTGCACTATGTTTTGATCTTAGGTGGTTGGAGGTAGTCAGTAGGGAACCCTGGAAATATATTTCATGTTAGTTGGCACTCGCCCCCAAATGCTCTGGTACGGCCGAGTGGGAAGAGTCAGCTCGCCCTATCGAAATACTCACACATGGCCACGTGTATACAGCCACTGACAAGGAAGTCTTACTAATTGCCTTCTCGTGGCGAGGCTGTTGTTTACGAAATTGAGAAAACAAAAAGAGAATGTCCGGTGCCTTAACCGGCCTGGTGGATTTAAAGGATCCACTGAGGGGATTGCAAAACCCTCATTCCAAACCGATGGTGTATATAAGGCTACAGGATCCTAAGGAAACAAATGGCGTTAGAACCAATTGTTGGTCACCGGCTAACATAGGACTGCATCTCTTAACGTTTCTCATTTGCCTTGTGGATTAGACCTACAGGTCAAAGGCTCTGGGTGTCGCCCTCTAAGAAAATCACCTGCTACGGTTTGGGCACCCGGGCAGCATCCAAGCCCTCACATTAATCGAATGATTTATGTGGCGCATATCTTGTTCGGTGCCTCCTTGTACCAGTGTTTATGTGTTTAAATCAATAAAAATAACAAACATCAACAAGAAACACCCGGAATCTTCAGGAAACTGATACTCTCTCGAGCCGATGCATACAGTGCCTGGTCCTACGTTGTAGCTGACTGGACTGACTCTCTCGAGATTACAGATACGCCTTTTTGACGAGTGGCAACTAGCAAGAAACCTATGTAAAGTTTTTCCTGCTGAATGCACAAATTCTTGCATGGTAAATCAGTTACAGGCCGTATTACGGTATGTCAGAAAGTCGGGGGAAAAACAAATTGATCATAAAGGGAAAACAAATAAAACCCTATTTATCAAGTGTATTAATTATTTATTTGAACACATAAATATTGGTAAAAGGGGCACCAGATATATATGTGTACTAATAATAATCGTAGTTTAACGTAGTTTACATTGAAAACAGTCAACTTACGACGAATGAACAGGATAGAAAGTACTTATAAATTTATTTGAGAATTATATGAGACTGATTACTAATATTTAAGAATAGTTGCAAATAACTCATTATAGGCGTTATCAACCAAATACTTATCAAATAATAATTGAATTGAGGAAAATTTCGTCTCGTGGGATTTTGTCGTCATAAGGCATGATAATTGGGTTTCGAGATTAATTATTACGGAGTCAATCAATGTGCTTAAAGTGTAAAGATCAATTGAGCAATCTGACCACCTAGATTACCTTATTAACTGGATCGGTTCTGGTAAGTCTAACGCTAAATTTCAGAAAACAATAAAAAAATTCCCGAGTTGGATAATCGACCGAGTTTGACTTTGCCAGCTTGTATCACGTACAGTGTAAACGGGATGTCCGTTTGACAACGAAAGAACAAGGTCACTGAGGAGCGATTCACGGTTTATTATTCTATGGTTGTGAAACATTGTCTACCAAAGTAGGAAACAAATGTATGTTGCAAGTACTTGGTGTCTTTGAAGACGTCTTCGAAGCACCATTCGCACATGGTGTAACTTTAGCAGTCTCTATGCTATCACACGTATGTGTGATCTATCCAAAATTTTGAACAGACTTTTGTAACCCACACGCACTGTTAATATTGTGACATTTTTACCATCCATTCCATCACAAGAAGCTGTGACCTTCAATAAATGTAAGTCTTATATTCACGTTCTTTAACTGTGCACATACGTTTCATATGCACTTGTGCATGTATGTATGCGCCCGTACACTTATTATCTTATCCTATGTCTCTCTCCCTTCTACCACTATTTTGAGTTTTATTAATACACGTATTGAGTAGTATTTTGAGAAGACACAACTGTCAGCTCCGCTCTTCATTTCTTCGTCAATCTGCAGAAACGGGTGAATAAAATATAAGTATCCCAAACACTTTTGTTCGACCTTGTATATACTATTGTTGTAAACTAGTTAAATTGACAGAACATATACGAAGTAATTTGGATCTATATTCTGTAGACATCGTTCATCACTCCATCACACTGGAATCAGCGACGAACTTCAAATGACAAACAAGTCAAGAATTCTAAGATTAGGTGTAGGGTACTAGGTAAATATGAATGATTAGTTGAATCTTTATCAACTGAAGTGGTTAGGATATGTGTTCCGTATTCCCAACCACCATGTGCTTCGACGAGCGCTGTTGGTTGGTGTAGGACAAGGGTTGAAAGAAAGCCTAAAGAGACTAGTACAAAACGTGGCATTAGTTCACGAAGTTGTTCACTGCTGGGCCTGAGCCATGTTGGTCGATGCATACTCTGTGGTTAGGGTTCGCATGATGACTGCGATCAGCAGTGGGAGACATTAGATAAAATGACTCAGAATAGATTGCAGTCGCGTGGATGCATTCACTCGTTATCTTACCCAAAGTCATGTGCCTTAATAGCTTTTCAGGCTTTTTATTCTTCCGATTCACCCCTTCTTTACAAACTCTATTCTCTAATCGTAAACATATTGCACTATCATTAATAGTACCATCATTTTTACTCCTTTATTATTAATTATGTCAATTTTATCTCGCTGTGTTTATGCAATATGGTAACCTAGGTTGATGCACATTTGTCCCATTCGATAGATCCGCTGTGTAGTGAAACAACTGTCGCAACAAATTTCATATTTTATTATTGTTAGCCATTAATTAAACCCGTGACTAATAAAACGTAGATTATTTAACAATAAGTAAAATAAACCAATATTAGAAATATCTCACCTCATCATTTAGTTCTGTTTGAATTTGTACGTCGGTTTTAAGTTTATTAGACTTCCCAAATTTTATTAGTAAAATTATAATTGCGAAAAAATGGGATAAGAAGAAACAAGTCAGATTTTACTTAGAATGGGACATTAAAAAACACATATATTACATATAATAAACTAATTGGTGTGCTTATTTCCCACTGACATATATTTGGGTGAGTGTAATACTACTCAGATACCTAAGTCAAAGTAGAAGGTTCTCCTAGACGAATGCTTATTGAACATTTAGCCTAAAGGTCTAGTTAACAATGTAGTGAGTAGTGTCAGGAAACACAGTCCCATGGTAGCCAGTGACTACAATAGGTTCGCACGCCATGAGTCTTTTCAGGAACATCGATTTGAACTTAGGACTTCGCAACACTTCTATCTAAACATTCTGTTTCCAGCAACCCCGGTCTAAGATCCAGAGGTTCGCTACTCGTCTTTTCACTTTGACAAGACACATTCTCCATGTGAAGGTTGGTAGGCTAAAAACGCGAGGCCGTATGAAATTTCTAGAAAGGGAGCGGACTTTCTTTATCCTCGACCATTTTAGAGAATTTGTGTACCGACCAAGTTGTCGGCTAAAATTCTCTGCCTTCTCAGGTCTACAAAACACAAGCTTTTCTATGCATACGAGCACAAACATACTACAATACACCGTTTACTACTAATTAACAAATTCAACATGGCAAGGAAAATAGTTCCAGGAGTTAAATATATAATAACAGGTTGTATGATACTAATCACAATCTAATTTTACTAATCAAATTGAAGATACACACATAATAAAGAAAGATTACCTGATTTTGTTGAGCGACTGTAAAATCTAATCTTCTATTCTCTACTCGAATACGATCTAGTTCACGCATAAGATTTTCAATGATATCTTTTTGATCTGCTAAGTCACCTTGCAATTCCGCAATTTGATTCTCTGACTGTTTAATTGTTTGTAAAAGTTGTGCTATTTTGATTGTTTGTGCTAAAGGAATTATACAGACAGACATATGGATGATGACAATATTGAAATATACATACTAATTAACAAGCATAGTCGATATATACACGAAAATATATAACACATGTTGTTTAACCAGAGTTATATAAAAATTTACTTTCTTTACGTGTTCACATTACTATTTTTACTACTCCATCAGTCAACTTGATAATTCCATCTCACTGTGGTGGTATAATGTAGTAACTTGAACCGATGTACATATGTCCCAGCTGATATGTTGCTTATGAATAACTGATTGACATGCTTACATTAACCAGAGTTAATAGAAAAAGGTTAAGAATTACTGAAAAGATATATTCCTTCCAAATGTGAAATTCATTAATCAACGAACACCTAAGGAGCTTAGTTTTAAAGCTACAGTATTAATTTTATTAGACCAATAAGTTGAAATCAAAAGTTTCCGAGTTTTAGCAACTTTAGTCAACTCATGATAGTGTTGTTATACCAACCGATGATATTGGAATGATATATATTTCCGGGTTGAACTGCACTAATCACAAGTTCTAATTCAGACTTTGTGATTTATAAGTAGTGTTTGTTAAAGATTTGTTATATCCCGGTGAAGATTAAATTACAGGTAACTTCCAAGGACTATTAGTGGACTAATATTCTATAAATATTCTTATTGTATAACTATTCAACAATTACATTATGCACATTTATATTCCTCTTATAAGCTTTATTTTGACCTACGTTTTATTATTGTACGATTTACGATTCTTAAGCTATGTTCAGTCTATTAATTACTGTCCCCCTCGTTCACAGCCACTTTTTGGCTTATTTGTGTACACATGTTATTTTCTATTTTATGGTACGTTGTGGTCTGTCTGATTGATATGTAAACCGAGTATGTCTGAAATAAACGATTCGATTCGATTCATATTACAGAAGCTGGTATTGTGTTCTGGACTCAAGCAGACGGGCTAGGAGGACATAGGATCAATAAGGACGCTAAACTGCTCATACCGGTTGAACGTCATTGGTTTGGCATAGTGCGAAATTGTATAAGTCGTATTCTGATTGGTTGATAAGTCGCGTGATAGAAAAGCCAGACATCAAGGTCATAACAAGATTGATCTAATTCGGGGTAGCATTGAGAACCAGGGAGTAATGGGAAGCCGTTTCGACCTAGTATTTAGTTCCTTGATAATATGTACCCATGAACTCGCCGCAAACCAAACTCAGAACTTGTAGGTCTTACGGTAGGTCGACGTCCAATTTTACAACGCCGACTTCAACCAATTCATGACATGGCACGGAGATCAGCCAAAGACATTGTTGACCGCAGTTTTATTCACAACAGGTTTGAAATTTATGAATTCACCTTAAATCTAGTAACAAGTGAGCACATGATTATTGTCTGAGTTGAGATATTTTTAAAGATCACTTCAAAATTTTCGTTAAATTTTTTGTCGCATATTGGCAATAATTAGACAACCAGTGAGTTAGATAGTAACCAATTTTATGGATTCGTTAAACGTTTTTTTAGTTCTCTCAAACTACTTTAAATGGTAAAACCGGTAACATTTTGTTTCATCAAAAATGAAAATGTAAATAAACTTCAGCTTTTAGTAAAATGTAGTTCAAATATAAAGATATTTATTTCTAACAGAGTTTTAAAGTTTTTACAAGTGACGAGTGATTGAGTGGAAATTAAGTCGCTTGAGGAAAATATCATTTCTTATCCTATATGGAAGTTTAGATAATGTGGTTGGGGTCCATGTGATGTCTTTGATCAATAATTAGAGATGGGTGACGGCTTAGAATTGATTACAGTAGAGCAAATTTATTCGTTAATTTTTCACCTTGGGCTTCAATACTTTTTTTCATGCATTTATATCGCGAACTCATCTTTTCGAACTGTATTCTACAGTCTTTAATCTTTTGCATTATCATTGCCATTATGTTATTTCGAATCCTTTACGATAAGTCTTGCCAATCTCATCTTGATATGTTAATGTGCTATGGTAAATCGAGCTAACGCACTGTTTTGCCAGGACTCTATGTTAAATATGGATGACTAACTGACCAATAATATGAAGAGTGAAGATAAATAATTCCTACACAAATACGCATATAACTTTTTCGTGAGAAATAAAACTGTAACGTCATACAATCCAACATTTAACAATATATCTTGAAATACACAAAAATCCTGATTGTTGGTTTAGTTTTATAGACATTGTATATTTTTCCATTATGAATAAGAATACACTATCCGAAAAGTTACAATTACTGATGGACAGTAATTTGAATATTGTCATTTTCGTCTTAAATTCACTTACTATGCTACTGAAAAACATCAAACAACTCATATCCTTCGTATTAAAAATGCAGCACTCGTAAAAACTCCAATGAAAATAAGCAGTAAGCAAATTAGATACTTTTGACTTATTATAACAACTCGTGAACCATCTTGCTCCGACTACATAGAGACCCGGTTCGAAACCTACATTCACGGTTTTCTAATGATAACCTTCATCCACCTAACACTTCAACATGATGTGTGCGATATCAGGTCACTTAGACTAGTGGCTATATTGAAACTTGATCTACAGAATCCGATTTGCACTAAAAAGTTTAGACAAACAAGACATTGGTTACTGTTCAGTGATCAATCAGTCACAAAATTCTACCTTACGTACATGGACAAAAGAAAGTCTGATATACTTCTATAATTCAGAAGTTAACATCATCTACCATAATTGATTGACAAACCAACTTAAAAAGTACAAGAAAGCGTATATGTATCTACCTGAACAATTGTCACATACTCCCAAAGATTGTTTTATCTTTACAATATTTTCTTGTAAAGAGTTGTCGATTTGTGAAATATCCTCATCACTGCTACTAGCGTCTGAATCATTTGGACATAAACGTTTAGAATTGTTAGTTAGATGAGTTTGACGTTGATTCACTGATTGAACGATATTACGCATACGCACATTTGATTCTTCATATAGATAATTCTCTCTACTTTTTAATAGTGCTCTATGAAGGAAATAAGTGAGTGTAAAACGATTAAACGAGATAAGCTCACACATACAAAAATGTGTTTTTAGAATACTTATTTATAAAGTGAAATGAAAAAGCTGACTGGATTTATATGCTATCTAGAAAATGAGTGGGTTTGGACATCATCCATGGAGTTATTATCACTATTTAACACCCAATAATCTTAGATTTCACGATATATTTCATTAAGCGCTCTTCCTAATTATGAAAACCCTTTAGGTAATATATATATATATATATATATATATATATATATATATATATATATATATATATAGAACAGTTTAAGTGAAACGGTGTCCTAGTGGCTACGGGATTCGTTTCGACCTCTAGGTCGAAGGTTTGAGCTCTGCTCCACGCATTTGCTTCAAGTAGCTAGGTAGTATTACTAGCTCTCAAACGAAGTGTAGCTCGAAATCCATTGTAAGAAACCAAACTCGGCAAGCGAGTTACATCACCATCGTAGTTGCGGAAAATAATCAACAAGAAGTCCTGAATCTAGACTCCATACCTGTGGTCTTCAGTGCTGTTAGCTCCGTACTTGTTGGGACCTTACCGCCGGAGACTAAAATCCGTGGGATAAGGCGAAGTGTACGTTTTTATGGTCAACCTTTTCTGACCCCACCCTTCCTTATGGGAAGGCAGCACCGCTGTTATACTGTCTGTCTGGAGGAAACACCTTACTGCAGCCACATATCAGTACCGTCAGCAGTACGATTTAGCTCTTGGATTTGTTGATTTTAGTCTTACCGCTATTCAACCAACCTGTCTGGCATGGTAGGACCTTGAGGAACGATTGTTCCAACCAGTATAGCTCGATCCGTTCATCACGATAGGCAAGCCCGACCACCACGTCAAGGTAGCAATAACGGTCGGGACATAATTGTCGACATCCGTCAATGAGGTATATTGTAACCTAGAAAGTTGATATTCAGATACAGATTCATAACAATAAAAATTTTGTTCATCTATTTAGATAAGTTTATGTGTCAACCTGTAACGTTTATGGGAAGGGTCTCTGAAGCCAAGTGATGACGATCATATCGAATGTTTTGTTAGGGGTTGAAGCGAATCATTCGAAATCCGAAACTTGGAAGGCATTCTTCTCTAAGATTTCGGTATATATATTATATATTACTTCGTGATGAAGTAATTAAATGATCCGTAAAATAAATCTTATTTTAAGTAGATAAATATCCCTCGGGAAAAAAAGTCCTTAAAATAACTTACTCAAACTTATTTTCAAAATCAATGATCTGCTGATTCATATTATCACACATTTCCGCCCTTAAACGTGCTTCTTGTTCCACCAACTGACCTTTCGATTCAAACAATTGTTCAGAGAGATCTTTTACCATCGTAATTAGTTCCTGTTACAAGGAATATACGGAAAAGTTCCGGGTTACTTAAGAAAACGAGAAACAGAGAGGTGATTATTTTTGGTGACAAGTGTAAATTATTATCAACGCAGGCAAATATACGTGCAAACAACCAGTTCAAGCACGATGGGATTACTTAGACTATAATGAGCTCATGTTTCATTCTAATACCTCAACGAAGAGGCGTCAGCACTAAACGAAGTTAATCCTTTGCCCACGTCAGTAAAAACGTATCTTTTAATAATTTGCCATACTTTATATTCAACTAAGAAACAAAATCACGTCTACGGAAATTACGATTGGTAAAAGATTAAAAAAGCAGAGCAACTAACTGAAAAAAGTTCAACAATGTATGTTGTGGCTAATGATACAAAATTGAATACTACTACAAGAATAAGAAATTTGATTACTGTGAGTTGACTAGTTGAAAAATCATTTTTTAATTACTAATTTAATAGTAAGTAGTAGAACGATTAAAACTTAGGGATTACTAGAAAACTGTTGTATCTTAGTTTTGGATTTTAGAATTTATTTGAAATCTTTCACAAAATCAAAACAATGTTCACAGTTGACAGTGAAAATAAAAACGCAGCCAGTCAACCATGACAAACGTGGATTAGTCCAGAACGCCATACTAAAATTAACAAGGTGAATAGCAAAAAATATCAAAATAATGTAGTAACCAAGATAATAAGAAAGACTAAACGTTAGGAATGTGGTTATGAAAGATATAATAAAAAGGTATGTATGAAAGGATACTGCGACTCGAGATCCAGAGGGAGTTATCGCATGAACCTCGATCAGATAGTTTAAATGTACTAAACACCTCAGTTCAACAGTCAGTAATTTCATAGACTGATGACAAGTTTTGGTTTGGTCACCCATATATTTCCTCCAACCCACTTCTATACCAAATAACTTCACGTTTCAAGGCAGGCGGTAGTTAAGTATGTGTAATACACGACCCAACCAACACAGTTGATAAAGATTCACAATCTTGTCAACCGACTTTCCTTTGCTTAATATCTTATGTCTAGCCTTAAGGTAGCTCACTGAGTTTTCCCATGATACGCGAGTAATGCTTCGAGGTCACCCATAGTCCAAACTCTGCAGGTTACCTGTATCATTTACATTTATAGATCATGTGTGACAAATAAAGAGAAATACAGAGAGGACTGCCACCCATTACACTTCATTTTGGTAGCCAGATGGACATCTTTCCTGTGCTACATGTGACGCAAGTTGGCAAAATCAAGTGAGCTTTCTGAATCCTTACCGAAATTTCGCCAGATACCAACTCGCCAGGGCCGATGAGGCTCCCAAGATTAGTTAGGTGATTAACGAATCTAGTGTTTACTTCTCCTTGATTAGTATGTGAACATATTATCAGTAACATGTTCCACAGGAAAATTCAAACCATCCATTGTACAAAGTAAATATCACAATTATTTACATGAGTAAACTTGGGTAAAACGAAAACATACCTCTTTATTGAAATGATCTAATACCAGTTCAGTTCCATCATTATTTGATGGGGTCATTGCTTGTGAAGAAGATAAATAATTGAAATCAACCGGTGAGCTAACTTCGCCAGATGCTTCATCTAGTGATAAAGCTTTCTTATCAAAATCATCTTCAGACCAACGAGTTGACTGAGGCTCCGAAACAGAATCTGACCCTACAATCCTGAGATTTTTAGAAAGAAAATATAGGCATACCGGTTATCGTTTGGGGTACATAGAGTTATATCTCTGAATAGTAAATATTGTAGACAAAAGAAACAATAAGATGGCGTGGGGGGGGAATACTAATTTTGATTACGCACGTATTCAGCGACTTACCACTTAACAAGTTGGGTTGTTGGTCAATTTAAAGTATCGACTAAACACTTAGTTACCTTTATATTTTCAATAACGACTACAAGAAAAACAGTAACCTGGTACAATATATATATAGTTCGTCAGAGAAAACCACAGTGAGAACTCAGTATTTACGAATAGACTTAGGTTGGAAGGAAACATAGATTATGTCAAACTTTTTACAAGTAACCTCTTGATTACCATGTCAATGAAATACTTATTAATTAAGTGGCAAAACTGAGTTACTAACCAGATCGCTGGTTTAAATACTACGATGATTGGCAACTAACTTTAATCACTACATAATACGTTATCTATTGATGAAAGCTAGTTAAGTTGACACACTTCGATACTTCTTTAAACTGACTTGATACACCAGAACATCAGAAACAATGAACAGTAAGGTTAGGGACTATAGAATTTAGAATACACTACTTTATGTAGTTAAGTTAGCTTTATTTTGTAAAAACCTCACCAGTAAATTAATCGTATGTAGCATGAAACCTGGGAAATATATGCATCAGTTCATGTTGCGACACGACATCAACACAGTAAGATCCCAAAGTAATAGTGGCAGTAATAGAAAAGATTAGGCATGAACAACATAACTACTGAACGAATTCGCTGAACAGAAAGTATCCGTATTTGAAGACAAAGTGCATCAACACCATTCCAACCGATTTCAAGTCACATCACCCAACGTCTTCAACCACTGACCATGGTTATTACGCAGACCCCAACCAGATAGTTTGTACCTACCAACGTGGATCGCTCCAACAGTCAATGACTTTACGGACTGATAACACGTCTTGATTTGGCAGTCCCTAGTTTTCTTCCAAAACTCCGCCTGGAGTCCCTCCGGGGGCTACTGCCGGTCCCAAGCCCGGATAAAGGAGGAGGGTTGGGCATGGGGTTAGCGTCCCCATCCCGTAGAAAACTAACTCGCTAAAAAAACGCTAACCAGAAAAAATTATTCGAACCTTTTAAACTCTGCCCTGGGAGTCAGAAGGTCTTCATTTAGAAGAATTATGACGCCTCATGATGAAAGCCGAATTCCTTCGGAAGTTACGAGGCCGATGCCCCTTCTGACAACCAGAGCGACCATTTATTTAGGTACATGGAATGTTCGTACAATGTGGGACACCGGAAGAGCCTTCCAAATTGCTGCAGAAATGAGAAGATACAACCTAGAGGTACTTGGGATCAGTGAAACACATTGGACACAAGTTGGACAACAACGACTAACTACAGGAGAGCTCCTGTTATACTCCGGCCATGAAGATGAAAATGCACCACATACACAAGGAGTTGCATTGATGCTGTCCAAACAAGCGCAAAATGCGCTTATAGGATGGGAATCTCATGGACCAAGGATCATCAAAGCCTCGTTCAAAACAAAGAAAGAGGGTATTTCAATGAACATCATCCAATGCTATGCGCCTACCAACGACTACAATGAAGACGCTAAAGATCAATTCTACAATAGGCTGCAGTCAATCGTCGAGAAGTGCCCAACAAAGGACCTGACCATTCTGATGGGAGATTTCAACGCCAAGGTTGGAACGGACAACACTGGATATGAAGACATCATGGGACGACACGGACTGGGAGAAAGAAACGAAAATGGTGAGAGATTTGCAAATCTATGTGCCTTCAATAAGCTGGTCATAGGCGGCACCATATTCCCACATAAACGCATACACAAAACCACATGGACTTCACCGGATCACTATACACAAAACCAAATCGACCATATTTGCATCAACAAAACGTTCAGGAGGACTATAGAGGACGTGAGAACCAAGAGAGGAGCTGATATAGCATCAGATCATCACTTGCTGGTCGCCAAGATGAAATTGAAACTCAAGAAGCACTGGACAACGGGGCGGACAATATCACAAAAGTTCAATACGGCCTTTCTTCAGGATACTAACAAACTCAACAAATTCAAGATAGTCCTCAGCAACAAGTTCCAGGCCTTTCATGATCTACTCAATGGAGAAGGAACTACTGTGGAGAGCAACTGGAAGGGGATCAAAGAGGCAATCACTTCAACATGTCATGAGGTCCTGGGTCACAAGAAGCACCATCACAAGGAATGGATCACTGTTGATACACTGGATAAGATTCAAGAAAGGAGGAACAAGAAGGCAGCAATCAATACCAGTCGAACAAGAGCAGAAAAAGCCAAGGCACAAGCTGAATACACAGAAGTAAACAAACAAGTGAAGAGGAGCATCAGAACCGACAAACGTAAATATGTGGAAGATTTAGCAACGACGGCGGAAAAGGCTGCAAGAGAAGGAAACATGAGACAATTGTATGACACGACAAAGAAACTCTCTGGAAATCGCCGCAAACCAGAACGACCAGTGAAAAGCAAGGAAGGCGAGGTAATCACCAACATTGAAGAGCAACAAAACAGGTGGGTAGAACACTTCAAAGAACTCTTGAATCGACCAGCTCCACTGAACCCACCCAACATCGAAGCAGCACCCACGGACCTCCCAATCAATGTTGGCCCACCAACAATTGAAGAAATCAGCATGGCCATCAGACAAATCAAGAGTGGCAAAGCAGCAGGACCGGACAACATCCAGCAGAGGCACTAAAAGCAGACGTAGCGGCAACTGCAAGGATACTCCACATTCTCTTCAATAAGATTTGGGATGAGGAACAAGTACCAAAGACTGGAAAGAAGGACTTCTGATCAAAATACCGAAGAAAGGCGATCTCAGCAACTGTGATAACTACAGGGGCATCACTCTTCTCTCAATACCGGGAAAAGTCTTCAACAGGGTATTGTTAAACAGGATGAAGGACTGCGTAGACGCCCAACTTCGTGACCAACAGGCAGGATTCCGTAAGGATAGATCGTGTACAGACCAAATCGCAACTCTACGGATCATTGTGGAACAATCAATTGAATGGAATTCATCACTCTACATCAACTTCATTGACTACGAAAAGGCATTTGATAGCGTGGACAGAACAACACTATGGAAACTTCTTCGACACTACGGCGTGCCTCAGAAGATAGTCAATATCATACAGAATTCATATGATGGATTACACTGCAAAATCGTGCATGGAGGACAGTTGACAAAGTCGTTCGAAGTGAAGACCGGTGTTAGGCAAGGTTGCTTACTCTCACCCTTTCTCTTTCTCCTGGTGATCGACTGGATCATGAAGACGTCAACGTCTGAAGGGAAGCACGGGATACAATGGACATCTAGGATGCAGTTGGACGATCTAGACTTCGCAGATGATCTGGCCCTTCTATCCCAAACGCAACAACAGATGCAGGAGAAGACGACAGTGTGGCAGCAGCCTCAGCAGCAGTAGGTCTCAATATACACAAAGGGAAAAGCAGGATTCTCCGATACAACACAGAATGCACCAATCCAATCACAATTGACGGAGAAGATTTGGAAGATGTAAAAACCTTTACGTATTTGGGCAGCATCATTGATGAACAGGGTGGATCTGATGCAGATGTGAAGGCGCGGATCGGCAAAGCAAGAGCAGCATATTTACAACTGAGGAACATCTGGAACTCAAAGCAACTGTCAACCAACACCAAGGTCAGGATTTTCAATACAAATGTCAAGACAGTTCTACTGTATGGGGCAGAAACCTGGAGAACTACGAAAGCCATCATCCAGAAAATACAGGTGTTTATTAACAGTTGTCTACGCAAAATACTTCAGATCCGTTGGCCGGACACTATTAGCAACAACGTACTGTGGGAGAGAACAAACCAGATCCCAGCGGAGGAAGAAATCAGGAAGAAGCGCTGGAAGTGGATAGGACACACATTGAGGAAAGCACCCAACTGCGTCACAAGACAAGCCCTCACATGGAATCCTGAAGGCCAAAGGAAAAGAGGAAGACCAAAGAACACATTACGCCGAGAAATGGAAATAGACATGAGAAAAATGAACAAGAATTGGATGGAACTAGAAAAGAAGGCCCAGGACAGAGTGGGTTGGAGAATGCTGGTCAGCGGCCTATGCTCCATTGGGAGTAACAGGCGTAAGTAAGTAAGTAAGTTTTCTTCCAAACTACACCTACACCAGCAGACATCAGACACGGAGGTAGACAGAGGTTAGGGATATGCTACACGTGTCCTGGGCACCTCAATCGATGGAGATTTACAACCTCACCAAACAATTTGCTATCTTTACCCAGTACCCTGTGTTTAATCTCACCATAACTCACTTAGTTGTCCCAAGATATTCAAGCAGTGCTTCGAAGGTACCAATGATCAAATAACAGTAACCTATAGAAATCCTTCACTTTAAAACCACGTTTCCCAGTCACAAACAACATTATTAAAATTAAGAGTTTCCTCTAGACCTAAGATTAAAATAGGAGTAGACAAGAATAATTAATGAAACAAGAACGAATTTCTTTTTAACTTGAATATAGTCATGTTGATGAATTTTTTAAACTAGCGACAAGCATATGTGAACCTAATGGATAGGAAGTGTAATAATTCCGTTTAAGGGTGATGGAATACTTTAAGGAACAGATCAGCTAACCTACAATTATACTTCAGCTGACTTTCAGGTTAGGATATTGGTATAAGATTTCTCTAACCCTAACCGAAGTCTTAAAATTGGTGACAAGCCTATAGCAAAACAAAGCAACGATCCCACACGATTTGATCTCAAGAGTTCTAAAAGATACTGATCATGAACTAATTAGTTGAAATAATAAAGACATGAATATTTAAAAATGATGACTATTCCAATTTGTACGAAAATAGAGAAATGCAACCATCCTAATTCTGGGTAATAAAAACCTAAAGGTTGATGTGGATGGTCTTTCGTTACTCAAATTGTTTAATAATATATAACGACAAAAAATGAATTTTTTTCCAAATATTTAACCAATTTTAGTGGGGTGAAAAATTTTGTAGGAAAAACTGTGTCCTTTCATTAGTATAAAAATGACAAAAACTTATGTTTAAAAGAAATGTACTTGTTTACAATTGGTTGATTAGACGATTTGATTTGTTTGATATCTTGAACTCTTTGTTTACATTTCACTTTATTTGGATGTAAAACAGAAGTTTCAGGCACAGGATTCACTTCTACAATAACTTGTCTGGCCAAAGCAGCAAAACGAAGAGCGTGTAGTGTTTCATCAAATAATTCAGGATTTGGAGATGCATTGACTATCATACACGCTCTGCCTTGACCAGTGAAGAAACCTTGAAATAGACGTGTAAGTTTGGAATCTCTATAAGGCACCAATTTTGGATTATCTGGGTGAACTTGGTTATATCTTAGGCATTCAATACATCTGGAAACAAAATTCAAAAACGTATTAAAGCATGTACGGAAACGTAATCACATATATCCATTCAAAAAAATAGTTCCGTTTCCAAGGAAATAAACGAGATATTATTTATCAAGCAAAAGTGATGATTATTTAGGCCGCTGTTGAGATAATTAATGTGGTGAAAAAAGATTTAACTTGCTAGAATATCATTGATTCAAGTTGTTTTTTCCCGATCGTCTACAAAATTTAGTACACTTAAATGAGTAATTGTATTATTCATGTCTGGTGGTTGAAGTCGTTTAGTTTAAAGATGCATATTCATACAGTTATTAATTTAGTTTGGGTGTCAAATAAATCCTCACCTTTCATCTTGTGTTTAAAATTACATTATTCATTTATTACTGATAAGATAACCATAATCATATTTACTGTCAATTATTCGATACACTGATATGAACTGTCTTCCGAAAAGAAACATAACCTCGTTTCACGTGAGAAGTCTTACTAGTAAGGCCAATAAGCAAGAAAGGACTTGTAAAAAAATGCATCTGAGTGCGTTTAAGTTTTTTATAATCCTGCTAGCCAAATGAAAATAAATCAGAGACACGCAAAATCCGTTGTTAACAGGTGATGATAAAGAACATCTTACTTTTTAGTTCCAGAAATTCAAACTCCGAAGATATGCTCATATTCTTGCGTTTTTGTAATTTTCTCTTAACAGTGATTTCATGCACTGTACAAAAATTCTGAGGGCTTACTTACGATTATCACAAAATTAGAACATCTAGTTGTATCAATGGTCTTTTTATTCACAATGAATTTTCAAAAACTAAATTAATAAAATCCATTCACATTAGCCATATGCTGAAACAGAACAGTGTAACAAACAGCCAAATCTAAATTCTACACGACAGAGGATAATTTTCGTAATGAAGTGTGATGGACCTGAAGAAAATTGCAAATACTGAATAAAGAAAAGCAATCACAACCTGCGAAAGGCTTAGAAATGATCACTACAGCGAGGTGAGGCTACTGTATTCTTTTTCTAGACAGTGAACATTTACTCGTTAATTACTGTACCACTGCCATAGATTTGATTTCCTATTCTTCAATTACTACTAGTGGAACCTATGCTCTCTGAAGCATCCCGTAAGTTGCTTTTGTTCGTCTGACAAAATAACATAACCTCAACAAAATAGAAAATATCTGTAATGCTTAAACCAAATACAAAGTATGTAATTCAAATCCTTTTGGTAAATCGTTCCATGTATTCATGTATTATCTAGTTTAAAGAAAATAATACATGAATTTTCACCATACTTTTGATGAGAAATTACTCAAAAATTAATAGAAGCAATGTGATAATGAATAAAACTAAATAAACATAATTTCATCCTCATGCTAATTATCCAGTAAGTTCGACTATGAGTTAGTGCCTGTCTAGTTAAGTATTTGAACCACTGAGAAAGTGAACTACTTCGTAAGTACAATAGAATAAATAAGTATTAACTAACCTTCCCAAAGTTAACAAGCTTGAATTAATATTGCCAGCCTCACGAATTCGCAGTGTTTGGCCACCTGTAGCAGCCTTTACAGAACGTTCACTTCCCGCCAAATCACAAAACATTAGAGTACTAACTCGAGCGAAATTCGGATTGTTTTTATCAACTACCCGTACAGCTTTCACACACAGAATACTATGAGATCTAGAGCTTGCTTGATTTAAACGTGTTGATGCAACCTTTTGGCAATGACGACCAACAGCAAGAAGTCTCAGGGCCTCTTCAGGTGAAGATACAGGATACCATTTCACACCTTACCAAAAGATACGCAAAATAGTGAGTCAAATTAATAGCACACTTAAATTTTCAAATGATAATTTATTAAATTTGATACTTCAAGTATTTAGATTTTAGGATGATTATTTATGAGTGAATGAGACATTCCCCCAAATGCCCTGGTACAGTCGAGGGTACGGAGAGTCAACTCACCCTCTCGAAATGCGCTCACGTGGCCACGTGTATATAGCCACTGACAAGGAAGTCCTACTCACTGCCTTCTCGTAGCGAGGCTATTGTTTACGAAATTAAGAGAAAGAAAAGCGCATGATCGGCGCTTTAACCAGGTTGATGAATATAGAGGATTCACCTAGGGGAGTTGGAAAACCCTCATTCCAAAGCAATGGTGCACATTGATTCTGATTCACTTTTGGCAAGATGGTTCCTCATACGTAAAAGACAAATAGCCACTAACGTCAAACTTCGAACCGAACAAATTCACTTCTATTGATACAAAGAAAAAGTAGCAAAAGTGTATAGACTTATGTACGAACCCACTACTAAGATTCATGATTTGAAAACTAAGAATAGTGGCTGACTGCGAGGACCACAAAACAGATTTGTTTCCAGGAAAATAGATTCGATGCTATCGAGAAGTGCAGGAACTCTTATGTGATGCTTTAAGTAGTAATACATGTCAGTTAAGATGGGTCGAGTCGATGAAACCTCAATTTCAAAAGAGAAATAGAGATAAATACTATCTTCACTATAATGAAAACCAGTTACTGTAAATATAAAGATTGATATAAATTCAATGTTGGTGGATTTTGAGGGCTTTAAAACTGTGTTTGTTTTGATACTACTCAAATGAACTCATTGTATTTGATTTATTCGCATTCCATCTGGTGTTTATTCATTAACAACTTTAGCATGTATAGTTGTTCACTAGACACTCGGTAAATTTATCGAAATAATCAAAGTACATTTGGCCTAATTATTATTGAAGATGGCTTAATATCCTTAAGGGGAAATGTCCAAGAAATTCTACAGCGAGATAGTTTTATTGCCAGTTAACGTAACAGTAACATGAATATTTAAAAGTCTTGGTATAATGCAAAGGGGTGTAAATTCAGTTAGCTGTGGTATTTAGAGGAAGCAAGTATCTAGAACTATCACTTTCTTAGTACAAAGCTTTGTAAATTTCGAGAACCGAAGGGATTTAACAGGTAACCACACTTTCTAAAATACCTTTTATAAAAAGATTTCCGTTCTTGTCAGTCCTCAGCTCCAGTGGAGTTCTTCTAGGTTGACTTACAAAACTCGGAACATGTGATGTGTTGCTGTTTACACTAAATATATTCCGAGGATTTGTAATGTTCTGATTATTTCGTGTGCTGGTGATACCATTTGGTTGGACAGTCAAGATACTTGAGCACTGCGTAGGATCCAGTAGATCATAAAATGTTTCGTTATAAATCTCCACGAAACTTATCCAGAAGCTAAAACGTATGTCACTAGCGGGCTTGAACCCTGGGATTTGACCTGAAAGAAAACACTTAACAAAAAAGAGACAGTACCGGTGAAAGTATCATCCAAAATCGTTTGTTCTTTAACTTGATGGGGGAAGGAATTGTTCTAAGAAATTAGTAAGAACCTGTAGCAAGTACCTCAAATATGCCTTCAGAGTACTTAATAAGAGAAGCTTTTTCAGATAAAACTTTTGGACCTCATCTTCATCCAGACTAATTACATCTGAGAAATCTTTTGGCATCAGGAACGGGTCGCTTCTGTGCTTGACGAGGCTGAATATGGAGTATATAGACCGAGGGATAATCCCAACACTTTCTCGGGTCCCTGGCAAATTAGCAAGTTACTGGTAATTACCTTGAAGTGTGTAAGTTTTCCCAGAACTAGTGGTACCATATGCAAAAATAAGACCATTCAAACCTTCAATAAAAGCTCGGATTTTGTCTGCGGCCACAATTTCGAAGACTTTTCCCTGGGTATCTGATTGACGAAATACTTCATTGAAGGTAAATTTATTTGCACTCTTTTGAAGATTACGAAATGAATGTTTCGGACCATCTATTTCTGGGGGACAGGCAATCACAGTACAATTATCAGGACAAGATAACACGGTCTGTAGCTAAGGTGAACAGTATTGAGATGGTACCTTGGAAGACAGTCCATTATCAGACGCATAAGGCCTTATTCGTAAGTACACTTTCATGGGGTGACTGTAATGGGCTACTTGAGCATCACGAGTACATGACTCGAAGTCCGCAAGCAAATTGCAATTTATACTTGAAAGGCGAAAACCTTCAACCATGCCTACAGAAGGTACTCTTGGACATATGAAGGAGAGAACAGATGCCCTGTCGTCCAACCCTCTGAAAAATTTGAAAAACAAAGTAGCACTTACAACCCAGCCATCTCAAATCCACCGCTAGAAAATCTGATGCGTACTACTGACCTACTTCAATAAACCAAGGTCATAACATACGCCAATATCAGGTCTTAGTGATAAAAATGGTATTTCGCACGACTTATGCTGACCTTTGAGACAAGTATCTCTGTGAAACTCCGGTATTTCTAAATGATTTTTATCAACAAGATTGGTACTAGTCGTTCGAACACCCTGTAAAAGATTAAATCCCATTTCCTTTGCTCCTCGTAATCAGAAACGGAATTTTCTGTCATTATCTTAATTCCTGGTTCTTGAAAACTCTTAGGACTATCGGAATGACTAATGACTCACAGACCAGACAATGGGCCAGGCTACCTCTTTGCGTCCCCTACTTTGGGAACGTTTCAGAGAGGTAATATTGTAGTAGTACTGGTACCTAACCACATGATCTTTGAAGCCGAGCATATAATTACTGAAAATATTCACCTCTGCCATGTAACACAGGAAATCAAAAATGGTGAAAGCGGGAACAATTCATCGGTATCGCACAGGTTGGCCTTGCAGGCATGGTTATTAGCGGTAAATTACCCATCAAATATATTACTATATCCCTAGCCTAAATGTGTTCAACAGAAGTGCTAGATAACATATTTTTGATTGTCTCGTAGGACGAGTTAGTGTAGACAATTGCGTGACTCCCATGTAAGATCTTACGGATTAAGTAGTCACATCATAACAAATCTACAATTTTGGAATTAGGTCTATTATTATAGTAGCAAAGATAAATGTACTAATACTGAAGAAAAAAACAGTCCTACATTATTGAAACCTACTAAAGGAATATGGCTCGTTGTTGGCTTTCATACTCACTTTAACTTTATCGATTTGTTTTTACTTATGTTAACCCATTTTTCTGCTAGTCAGTTGATTAGTACTCACGTGTATTGTATTGTAATATCAATTAGTACTCATAGCTTACTAGACCGTTCGACACAAATAACTGATAATCTATGTTCACGATTAGCTATAATAGTTCATTAGCAAGCTTTATTAGCAGCTTCAGTAAAATAGACTTGCTAAAACATCAATCACTAGTAAGTATGGCTCTTCATTGACGTAAATACATGTTTTCCAGCAACGGAAGCAAAGGCTGGATGATTGTCTGGATCTAATTTTCAATCTTGTTTCTTCACTTAACAGTTTCAGTTTCATTTACTATTTTAAACCACGGACTATCGCCTGATATCTTTCCTATCTACCACTGCCTGCTTGATTAACAAGTTTTGAGTTCCATTGCCAAACAACGAACACAATAATCCGGAAACTTTCGGTCAGTTTAAACTACAAATTTCCTGCAATCTTTGGCTTATTTCAGATTGTTCATAGGGTGAAAGCCATGTATTTATCTGGACTCTAGGATTTTTACTAAATCAATCGAGTGAAAAGGTCAATAATATCATGCCTACCCATGAATTAATCGTAACACAGGATGTTCCATTGGTTTCCTTTTGGGTTTATACAACTCATCACAACAGGCTTTTTAAATGTTAAATCTATTGGATAATCTTAGTTTCGAAAATAATCCATGCGGGTTTAACATTTTTGTCAAGTGTTTTACTATTTTCAATACTTCTTAACATGTATATATTTTCACTTAGAATAACTATATATTTCATATGAACCACTCTCAAGACAACTATGCGGATAAGACACGATTAGTAGCTCCAAGTAACATACCACAATGAAAAGGCGTGTTGTTGTTAGAAAGGTCATATTAGATTAAAAGTTGATCTGACTACATGCTACATTTCCTCATGTGTATGCGATAGGAGGGCTAGGTCATCGGCGGCGTCCAAATCGTCTAATTGATTCTGAGCTGTCCATTGTATTCCCTCAGATGTCGAGGTCTTCATAATCCAAACAACCATCAGAAGAAAGAGGAAGGGAGAGAGTAGACAGCCTTGTCTGACTCTGGTCCTTACTTGGAATGCATCTGTCAGCTGTCCTCCATGCACTACTTTGCACTGTAGTCCGTCGTGTGAGTTCCGGATAATATTGACAATCTTCTCAGGAATTCCGTAGTGTCGAAGAAGTTTCCATAAAGTCCTCCTATCTACACTGTCAAATGCCTTTTTATAATCAATGAAGTTGATGTATGGTGACGAGTTCCACCCAATTGATTGTTCGACGATGATCCGTAGTGTTGCAATTCGGTCTGTGCACGATCGATCCTTACGGAATCCAGCTTGTTGATCTGGAAGTTGGGCATCTACCGTGTCTTTCATCCAGTTCAACAATACTCTGTTAAAGACTTTCCCTGGTACTGACAGTAGTGTAATGCCTTTGTAGTTTTCACGTTTGCTCAAATCTCCCTTCTTTGGAATCTTCATGAGGTGTCCTTCTTTCTAGTCCATCGGCACTTGTCCCTTCTTTTAAATCTTTTTGAATAGAAGGTGAAGCATGTTTGTAGTTACTTCGATGTCTGACTTCAGTGCTTCAGCTGGTATATTGTCGGGTCCTGCTGCTTTCCCGCTCTTGGTTTGTCTGATGGCCATTCTGATTTCTTCCGTCGTTGGTGGATCGACATCTATAGGAAGATCTGTGTGTGCTGCTTCGATGCCCGGTGGATTCATTGGAGCCGGCCTATTCAGGAGTTCCTCGAAGTACTCTACCAATTTGTTCCTTTCTCTGCTCGTGTTCGGCTGTTGTTAATTGCTGTCTTCTCGTTCTTCCTTTCTTTGATCCTGTCCAGTGTTCTTACAGTGATCCATTTCTTATGATGATGCTTCTTGAGGCCTAGAACCTCTTGACACGTTGAGGTTAATGCTTCTTTGATACCTTTCCAGTTGTCCTCCATCGTAGTTTCTTCTTCCTTCAGTAGATCCTGTAAGGCTTGGAACCTGTTGTTGGGAGCTATCTTGAATTCGTTGATTTTGTTGGTATCTCGAAGGAAGGCTGTATTGAACCTTTTTAATGCTGTTTGTCCAGTTGTCCAGTTCTTCTTTAGCTTCAGTTTTAAATTGGCCACAACTAGGCGGTGATCTGAAGCTATGTCAGCTCCTCTCCTGGTTCTCACATCTTCCATTGTCCTTCGGAACTTTTTATTGGTGCAAATATCTATCTGGTTCTCTGTGGTGTGGTTCGGTGAGATCTATGCAGCTTTGTGTATACGTTTGTGTGGAAATACTGTTCCACCTATGACCAATTTGTTGAATGTACATAGATTTGGAAATCTCTCACCATTTTTGTTTCTCTCTCCCAGTACATGTCGTCCCATGATATCTTCATATCTGGTGTTGTCTATTCCGACTTTGGCGTTTAGATCTCCCATCAGAATAGTGAGGTCCTTTCTTGGGCACTGCTCTATGATTGATGCCAGCCTCTCATAGAATTTATCTTTAATGTCGTCGTTGCTATCGTTGGTGGGTGCATAACATTTTGTAACATTCGTTGTGATTTCCTCCTCTGTTTTGAATGATGCTTTGATGATTCTGGATCCGTGAGATTTCCATCCTACAAGTGCATTTCGTGCTACTTTGGACAGCATTAGAGCAACTCCCTGAGTGTGTGGAGCATTTTCTTCTTCGTGGCCGGAGTTTAGCAGCATCTCTCCCGTATTTAGCCTTTTTTGTTCAGCTTTGGTCCAATAGGTTTCTCTGATCCCAAGTACCGTCAAGTTGTATCTCCTCATTTCCGTTGTTATTTGACTGGTCTTCCAGGTCTCCCATATTGTCCGAACGTTTCACATACCTATAGAAATGGTTTCTACAGCTGAGTATTATCCGTCCGTCTGATAACCAATGGTTGTCCCCTCTTCACATAGTCCGAAAAAAATTGAAGGCGATAGGCGGTTGTTTGGAAATTACAGATCGCTCAACCGTCAAACAGTATCAGATAGCTACCTTATGCCTCGTATTCATGATTTTACAAACGATTTACAAGCTACAGGCATACTTACTAAAATTGACGTAGTTAGGGCATTTTACAGTATCTCCATAGCTGAAGAGGATATCCCTAAGGCAGCTATTACTACACTCTTTGGATTGTTTGAGCTTGTACGCATGCCATTTGGCCCAAAGCACGCGGAAAAAACAGTTGAAAAGTTAATGGACAACCTACTTTGAGATATTCTCTTTGCATAGGAGTATATATGGTGTGTTATTTATGTCTGTCAACACAAGGTGAATTAAATGAGGAAGATTTATAGCGTAAACCAAAATGTAATTGTTCAAAAACATACTTGAACTGCATGCATCACATCACCTAAGAAGG